TGCCAATAACGGGGCGGGGGATGAGCGTAACGACCCCGTTATACGGCAAAATATTAGGCGTCGCGACGCCCTGTAATCACCCAATTGTGTCTGCACAGTCGAGCTCCGCCTCTTGGACCCCGCTTTTTCTGGTGTTTAGTGCTCTTCATTTGTGTTTAATGCTCTCTAGGCTCCCGGTAATGGAAGGTGTTACCAGGGATATAGTGAACATGTGGGGTGGGGGTGTGGGGGCCAGAGGTGTGGGGAGTAGGGGGGGGGCGAGATGAAGGGGGAGTATGGGAGGGGAGAGGTAAGGGATAGGAAGGTAAAGGTGAAAGTAAAGGGTGTGGGAAGATAAGGGAGGGAAAAGATAAGGTGTGATATGACAGTGTAATTATTATTACCGTGAAAATGATTATTTACACAGTTCAGTAAACATGTTGTGACGATAATCTCTTTCAAGAGAGATTGAGCCTGCTCTTCCCTTCAAAGTACGTAACAACAACAGATAATATAGAAGATATATCCAGTAAGTATCTCCAAAACCCCACTGGCGTACCTGCTCGCCCCCGCCACCGTAAACCGGCAAACTGCTTGTCCATTGCCTGCCTGTCGCTGATTGGCTGGTGTCCCGTCGCACCTGCCCTCCGCCCTCCGCCACAAGTTGATGTCTGGGCTGCAGTGGCCCAGAATAGTCAGAATATCCCAGTGCTCCTTGCAGTTGACATCTCTCGCTGGTAGACTAAGCCTTGGCTTTCGTGTACTAAGGGAGGTGGCAGCTCGAAGCCAATATTCCAGCTCTATTATTATTTATTTTGCTATCACTCACTTGTCTTAACGTAACTTTTCATTTGCCAGTGATTATTCTTATTATTTTGTTGGTTGACTTGCCTTGTATATTTTATACTTAATTTTATTCATGTCTTGTTTTTCTAACGTAATTAAAATTTCATTGTTAAATTTACTTGTGTTTTGTGTGTCTTCCCATTACCTTACCACAGATGAAAGTTCCAGCTTTTCTCTTTTTTTTTCTTTAATGTGACGAGGCCCTGCCCCTAGCTTTTGAAACAGCCGAACACCAACGCTTTACCGTCACAATGTCTATTGAAGGTCAGATTATGTTTACTCTGATAAAGTGATAGACTGGAGCTGGGTCTAGCTAGACTGGAGCTGGGTCTAGCTAGACTGGAGTTTGTGGTGGCCAGGGCCCCCACATGGAGGGGGCTGGTGGTGGCCAGGGCCCCACACATGGAGAGGGCTGGTGGTGGCCAGGGCCCCACACACGGAGGGGGCTGGTGGTGGCCAGGGCCCCCACACATGGAGGGGGCTGGTGGTGGCCAGGGCCCCCCACACGGAGGGGGCTGGTGGTGGCCAGGGCCCCCACACATGGAGGGGGCTGGTGGTGGCCAGGGCCCCCACACGGGACACGGAGGGGGCTGGTGGTGGCCAGGGCCCCCACACATGGAGGGGGCTGGTGGTGGCCAGGGCCCCCACACATGGAGGGGGCTGGTGGTGGCCAGGGCCCCCCACACGGAGGGGGCTGGTGGTGGCCAGGGCCCCCACACATGGAGGGGGCTGGTGGTGGCCAGGGCCCCCACACATGGAGGGGGCTGGTGGTGGCCAGGGCCCCCACACGGGGGGGACACCACAGACACAGCGGACACGGAGGGGTCTGGAGACACTGGCAGCACCGCGCCAAGTCACCGCCCGTGGCACAAAGGGGGAGACAGAGCCGTGGCACTCTGGGAATTTAAGGGAGAGGGAAGAGGGAGACATTTCCCAGAATATGGGTGGGAGAGGGAAGATGTTGCCCATGCAGCGGCCAGGGTGCGTGTAAGGCTGCCTGCACGCACGTGCTCCCTACTCTCTCACCCCCGGGGGGGGGGGGGGGGCGCCGCCCCCACTCCTCACAGTTGTAGACATTTACGCAGCGTGAGGCCGCCCCCCTCCTCCTCCCCCCTCACACTGCTCTCTTCCTCATGACGGACACACCACTCACTAGCGTAGTGTGGAGCAGAGGCCCTGGGTGTGGAGCAGGGGCCCCTGGGTGTGGAGCAGGGGCCCTGGGTGTGGAGAAGGGGCCCTGGGTGTGGAGCAGGGGCCCTGGGTGTGGAGCAGGGGCTCTGGGTGTGGAGCAGGGGGCCCTGGGTGTGGAGCAGGGGGCCCTGGGTGTGGAGCAGGGGGCCCTGGGTGTGGAGCAGGGGGCCCTGGGTGTGGAGCAGGGGCCTGGGTGTGGAGCAGGGGCCCTGGGTGTGGAGCAGGGGCCTGGGTGTGGAGCAGGGGCCCTGGGTGTGGAGCAGGGGACCCTGGGTGTGGTGCAGGGGGCCCTGGGTGTGGAGCAGGGGGCCCTGGGTGTGGAGCAGGGGGCCCTGGGTGTGGAGCAGGGGGCCCTGGGTGTGGAGCAGGGGGCCCTGGGTGCAGCAGGGGGCCCTGGGTGTGGAACAGGGGGCCCTGGGTGTGGAGCAGGGGGCCCTGGGTGTGGAGCAGGGGGCCCTGGGTGTGGAGCAGGGGGCCCTGGGTGTGGAGCAGGGGGCCCTGGGTGTGGAGCAGGGGGCCCTGGGTGTGGAGCAGGGGGCCCTGGGTGTGGAGCAGGGGGCCCTGGGTGTGGAGCAGGGGGCCCTGGGTGTGGAGCAGGGGGCCCTGGGTGTGGAGCAGGGGGCCCTGGGTGTGGAGCAGGGGGCCCTGGGTGTGGAGCTGGGGGGCCCCGGGTGTGGAGCAGGGGGGCCCCGGGTGTGGAGCAGGGGGCCCTGGGTGTGGAGCAGGTGCCCTGGGTGTGGAGCAGGGGGCCCTGGGTGTGGAGCAGGTGCCCTGGGTGTGGAGCAGGGGGCCCTGGGTGTGGAGCAGGTGGCCCCGGGTGTGGAGCAGGGGGCCCTGGGTGCGGAGCTGGGGGGCCCCGGGTGTGGAGCAGGGGAGCCTGGGTGTGGAGCAGGTGCCCTGGGTGTGGAGCAGGGGGCCCAGGGTGTGGAGCAGGGGGCCCTGGGTGTGGAGCAGGTGCCCTGGGTGTGGAGCAGGGGGCCCTGGGTGTGGAGCAGGGGGCCCTGGGTGTGGAGCAGGGGGCCCTGGGTGTGGAGCAGGGGGCCCCGGGTGTGGAGCAGGGGGCCCTGGGTGTGGAGCAGGGGGCCCTGGGTGTGGAGCAGGTGCCCTGGGTGTGGAGCAGGGGGCCCCGGGTGTGGAGCAGGTGCCCTGGGTGTGGAGCAGGGTGCCCTGGGTGTGGAGCAGGGGCCCTGGGTGTGGAGCAGGGGGCCCTGGGTGTGGAGCAGGGGGCCCTGGGTGTGGAGCAGGGGGCCCTGGGTGTGGAGCAGGGGGCCCCGGGTGTGGAGCAGGGGGCCCCGGGTGTGGAGCAGGGGGCCCTGGGTGTGGAGCAGGGGGCCCTGGGTGTGGAGCAGGTGCCCTGGGTGTGGAGCAGGGGGCCCTGGGTGTGGAGCTGGGGGGCCCCGGGTGTGGAGCAGGGGGCCCTGGGTGTGGAGCAGGGGGCCCTGGGTGTGGAGCAGGTGCCCTGGGTGTGGAGCAGGGGGCCCTGGGTGTGGAGCTGGGGGGCCCGGGTGTGGAGCAGGGGGCCCTAGGTGTGGAGCAGGGGGCCCTGGGTGTGGAGCAGGGGGCCCTGGGTGTGGAGCTGGGGGGCCCGGGTGTGGAGCAGGGGGCCCTGGGTGTGGAGCAGGGGGCCCTGTGTTTGGAGCAGGTGCCCAGGGTGTGGAGCAGGGGGCCCTGGGTGTGGAGCAGGGGGCCCTGGGTGTGGAGCAGGGGGCCCTGGGTGTGGAGCAGGGGGCCCTGGGTGTGGAGCAGGTGCCCTGGGTGTGGAGCAGGGGGGCCCTGGGTGTGGAGCAGGGGGCCCTGGGTGTGGAGCAGGGGGCCCTGGGTGTGGAGCAGGGGGCCCTGGGTGTGGAGCAGGGGGCCCTGGGTGTGGAGCAGGGGGCCCTGGGTGTGGAGCAGGTGCCCTGGGTGTGGAGCAGGAGGCCCTGGGTGTGGAGCAGGGGGCCCCGGGTGTGGAGCAGGTGCCCTGGGTGTGGAGCAGGGGGCCCTGGGTGTGGAGCAGGTGCCCTGGGTGTGGAGCAGGGGGCCCCGGGTGTGGAGCAGGTGCCCTGGGTGTGGAGCAGGGGGCCTTGGGTGTGGAGCAGGGGGCCCTGGGTGTGGAACAGGGGGCCCTGGGTGTGGAGCAGGGGGCCCTGGGTGTGGAGCAGGGGGCCCTGGGTGTGGAGCAGGGGGCCCTGGGTGTGGAGCATGGGGCCCTGGGTGTGGAGCAGGGGGCCCTGGGTGTGGAGCAGGGGGCCCTGGGTGTGGAGCAGGTGCCCTGGGTGTGGAGCAGGGGGCCCTGGGTGTGGAGCAGGGGGCCCTGGGTGTGGAGCAGGTGCCCTGGGTGTGGAGCAGGGGGCCCTGGGTGCGGAGCAGGGGGCCCTGGGTGTGGAGCAGGTGCCCTGGGTGTGGAGCAGGGGGCCCTGGGTGTAGAGCAGGGGGCCCTGGGTGTGGAGCAGGGGGCCCTGGGTGTAAAGCAGGGGGCCCTGGGTGTGGAGCAGGGGGCCCTGGGTGTGGAGCAGGGGGCTCTGGGTGTGGAGCAGGGGGCCCTGGGTGTGGAGCAGGGGGCCCTGGGTGTGGAGCAGGGGGCCCTGGGTGTGGAGCAGGGGGCCCTGGGTGTGGAGCAGGGGGCCCTGGGTGTGGAGCAGGGGGCCCTGGGTGTGGAGCAGAGGGCTTTGGGTGTGGAGCAGGGGGCCCTGGGTGTGGAGCAGGGGGCCCTGGGTGTGGAACAGGGGGCCCTGGGTGTGGATCAGGGGGCCCTGGGTGTGGAACAGGGGGCCCTGGGTGTGGATCAGGGGGCCCTGGGTGTGGAGCAGGGGGCCCTGGGTGTGGAGCAGGGGGCCCTGGGTGTGGATCAGGGGGCCCTGGGTGTGGAGCAGGGGATGTGGAACCTAACAACTATTTATCCACTTACTCCATTCATGAGGTAGAGCAGCTCGGGACGAGACCAAAATCGATACTCGTGAGAGGAGCTTGGGTCGAGACATGTTAGTGTCGCAGAGCTCAGTTTAGCGAGAGTCTCGGCGGGGAGCAGACGCTGCGGTGCGCCGCTCCGGGGGCTTTGTTTACCACTCATGTGTCAACAATCACTCAACCTGTCCTTGTTTACGCGGTACTCGCGGAGTAGTGAAGTGTGGCGGCGCGCCGCGAGGAGTACCTCGCTGCGGGCCCTCGACGCAGGCGGGAGCCGCACTCGGCCCCTCAACACTCACCATGTTTAAGGGTCTCAAGAAGCGCTTCCACTCCTCTAGGTGAGTGGTGGCAGCCGGTGGGATGGCAGCGTGTGGCACCCTGGGGGATGGCAGCATGTGGCACCTGGGGGGATGGCAGCGTGTGGCACCCTGGGGGGAATGGCAGCGTGTGGCACCCGGGGGGATGGCAGCGTGTGGCACCCTGGGGGATGGCAGCGTGTGGCACCCTGGGGGATGGCAGCGTGTGGCACCCTGGGGGATGGCAGCGTGTGGCACCCTGGGGGGAATGGCAGCGTGTGGCACCCTGGGGGATGGCAGCATGTGGCACCCGGGGGGATGGCAGCGACTGGCACCCGGTGGGATGGCAGCGTGTGGCACCCGGGGGATGGCAGCGTGTGGCACCCGGGGGGATGGCAGCGTGTGGCACCCGGGGATGGCAGCATGTGGCACCCGGGGGGGATGGCAGCGTGTGGCACCCGGGGGGATGGCAGCGTGTGGCACCCGGGGGGATGGCAGCGTGTGGCACCCGGGGGGATGGCAGCGTGTGGCACCCGGGGGGATGGCAGCGTGTGGCACCCGGGGGGATGACAGCGTGTGGCACCTTGGGGATGGCAGCATGTGGCACCCGGGGGATGGCAGCATGTGGCACCCGGGGGGATGGCAGCGTGTGGCACCCGGGGAGATGGCAGCATGTGGCACCAGGGGGGATGGCAGCGTGTGGCACCCGGGGAGATGGCAGCGTGTGGCACCGGGGGGATGGCAGCGTGTGGCACCCGGGGGGATGGCAGCGTGTGGCACCCGGGGGGATGGCAGCGTGTGGCACCCGGGGGGATGGCAGCGTGTGGCACCCGGGGAGATGGCAGCGTGTGGCACCCGGTGGGATGGCAGCGTGTGGCACCCGGGGAGATGGCAGCGTGTGGCATCCGGGGGGATGGCAGCGTGTGGCATCCGGGGGGATGGCAGCATGTGGCACCCGGGGGGATGGCAGCGTGTGGCACCGGGGAGATGGCAGCGTGTGGCACCCGGGGAGATGGCAGCGTGTGGCACCCGGGGGGATGGCAGCGTGTGGCACCCGGGGGGATGGCAGCGTGTGGCACCGGGGAGATGGCAGCGTGTGGCACCCGGGGGGATGGCAGCGTGTGGCACCCGGGGGATGGCAGCGTGTGGCACCCGGGGGGATGGCAGCGTGTGGCACCCGGGGGGATGGCAGCGTGTGGCACCCGGGGGGATGGCAGCGACTGGCACCCGGTGGGATGGCAGCGTGTGACACCCGGGGGGATGGCAGCGACTGGCACCCGGTGGGATGGCAGCGTGTGGCACCCGGGGGGATGGCAGCGTGTGGCACCCGGTGGGACGGCAGCGTGTGGCACCCGGGGGGATGGCAGCGTGTGGCACCCGGGGGGATGGCAGCGTGTGGCACCCGTGGGGATGGCAGCGTGTGGCACCCGGTGGGATGGCAGCGTGTGGCACCCGGTGGGATGGCAGCGTGTGGCACCCGGTGGGATGGCAGCGTGTGGCACCCGGTGGGATGGCAGCGTGTGGCACCCGGTGGGATGGCAGCGTGTGGCACCCGGGGGGATGGCAGCGTGTGGCATCCGGGGGGATGGCAGCGGCTGGCACCCGGGGGGATGGTAGCGTGTGGCACCCGGGGGGATGGCAGCGTGTGGCACCCGGGGGGATGGCAGCGTGTGGCACCCGGGGGGATGGCAGCGTGTGGCACCCGGGGGGATGGCAGCGGGTGGCACCCGGGGGGATGGCAGCGTGTGGCACCCGGGGGGATGGCAGCGGGTGGCACCCTGGGGGATGGCAGCGTGTGGCACCCTGGGGGATGACAGCGGTTGGCACCCGGGGGGATGGCAGCGGCTGGCACCTTGGGGGATGGCAGCGTGTGGCACCCGGGGGGATGGCAGCGACTGGCACCCTGAGGGATGGCAGCGACTGGCACCCTGGGGGATGGCAGCGGCTGGCACCCTGGGGGGATGGCAGCGGCTGGCACCCTGAGGGATGGCAGCGGCTGGCACCCTGAGGGATGGCAGCGGCTGGCACCCTGGGTGGATGGCAACGACTGGCACCCTGAGGGATGGCAACGACTGGCACCCGCTGCCATCCTAGCACCTATACAGTCATTACACAGTTGTCTCGCTCTTCTAAACAAGTGATTTCCCCTCCCAGCACAGTCTCTATATTACTGTGTATAGTCACCTAGTTGTGCTTGCCGGGGTTGAGCTCTGGCTCTCTGGTCCCGCCTCTCAACCGTCAATCAATCAACTGTTACTAATTACTAAGTCTTAATTATGTCGATGTTTGCAGGTGATGCGAAGCTAATGAGGGTGAGACGGATAAGGATTTTAAGATTCTCCAAGAGTCCCAAAGATGACTTAGCTGTTCCGAGAAATGGCTGCTAGAGTTCAATAACAGCAAGTGTAAGGTGATGGGAATGAGATCAAGAGACTGGAGAGGCTCAGATAAAAAGAATAACGCCAGCCGCATACTTACGCTACGCCGGCACAAGTCAGAACATTCTTCAGGAAAATTAGCATGTATGATGGGAAAATTGGTCAGGAGTCATTGTATTAGACCAGCAACGGTTAGAAAAGCGGGATCCAAGAGCTAGAGCTTGATCCTGCAGGCACAAATAGGTGACTACACACACACACACACACATGTACACCATGTGTGTGTGTGTGTGCATGTGTGTGTACATCTAGATGAGAGGAGGGACCAAAGAGCCAAAGCTCAACCCTCGCAAGCACAAATAGGTGAGTACAAATAGGTGACCCCACACACACACACACACACACACACACACACACACACACACACACACACACACACACACACACACACACACACACACTACGCCTCGTGGCTGAGTGTAAAGTCCTCAAAGGGTCATAGTCCTAAAGGCCCGGGTTCAATTCCCAAAGGCAGAAACAAATGGTCAGAGCTTCTTTCACCCGATGCCCCTGTTCACCTAGCAGTGAATAGGTACCTGGGAGTGAGACGGCTGCAGCGTGCGTGGGTGCACGTGCGTGTGCGAGCGTGGCCACAAAGACACTGAGGCCCGGGAAAGAGTAGGTTTACCAGGCGAGTATCGACGGGCGCGCTGTTGCCGGGTGGGGGGGAGGGGGTGTTGCCGGGTGGGGGGGGGGGGGCGGGGGTGTTGCCGGGGGGGGGGGGGGGGGGGGTGCGGGGGGGGGGTGTTGCCGGGGGGGGGGGGGGGGGGGGGGGGGGGTGCCGTGTTGCCGGGGGGGGGGGGGGGGGGGGGGGGGGGGGGGGGGTGCCGTGTTGCCGGGGGGCGGGCGGGGGAGCTGAGATTGGGCGCCCCCCCTGTGTGGCCGCGCTCCCCGCCCCCACTCACTCGTGTATGTGTGGCGGCTTCTTGTCCCTGGCTGCTTGTAGAGTGGTCCCTGGCTCCTTGTAGAGTGGTCCCTGGCTCCTTGTAGAGTGGTCCCTGGCTCCTTGTAGGGTGGTCCCTGGCTCCTTGTAGAGTGGTCCCTGGCTCCTTGTAGGGTGGTCCCTGGCTCCTTGTAGAGTGGTCCCTGGCTCCTTGTAGAGTGGTCCCTGGCTCCTTGTAGAGTGGTCCCTGGCTCCTTGTAGGGTGGTCCCTGGCTCCTTGTAGAGTGGTCCCTGGCTCCTTGTAGAGTGGTCCCTGGCTCCTTGTAGAGTGGTCCCTGGCTCCTTGTAGAGTGGTCCCTGGCTCCTTGTAGAGTGGTCCCTGGCTCCTTGTAGGGTGGTCCCTGGCTCCTTGTAGAGTGGTCCCTGGCTCCTTGTAGAGTGGTCCCTGGCTCCTTGTAGAGTGGTCCCTGGCTCCTTGTAGAGTGGTCCCTGGCTCCTTGTAGAGTGGTCCCTGGCTCCTTGTAGAGTGGTCCCTGGCTCCTTGTAGAGTGGTCCCTGGCTCCTTGTAGAGTGGTCCCTGGCTCCTTGTAGAGTGGTCCCTGGCTCCTTGTAGAGTGGTCCTGGCTCCTTGTAGAGTGGTCCCTGGCTCTTTGTAGAGTGGTCCCTGGCTCCTTGTAGAGTGGTCCCTGGCTCCTTGTAGAGTGGAGGGATTGTAAAGTAGTGTGGACGGCTTGTAAAGTAGTGTGGACGGCTTGTAAAGTAGTGTGGACGGCTTGTAAAGTGCCCTTACTATTGGGGAAGGGGGGGGGAAGAAACAGTGGACCGTTAGATATTTCATAATCGGAACTTTACCTGAATTTACCTGAGTGCTACTAACCGTAGTGGCCTCGATAAGGACAGGAAGCCGGCGGCTTGTCGAAGGTCCCCCTATATGCCTTGATGATATTTTCCAGTTGTCCTTTAAAAGTTACCAGAGTTTTGGCATTTACGGCTGTGGCGGGTAGGCGGTTCCATGGGTTAATAACCCTGTGTGTGGAAAAGCATCTGGTGTTCTCAGTCCAAGATTGTGGCTTGTTGAGCTTGTAACTGCTGCTCCTTGTTAGTGTTACAACTAACCCTTTGAAGACATTCTCCGGGTCAACTTCCTCTAACTTGTTCAGTATTTTGACAGTCTCAATAAGATCCGTTCTCTCATGCCTGGTTAACAGTGTTGTTAGCCCTGTGGCCCTCAGCCGCTCCTGGTGCCACAGTTGACTTTCCTCTGGCATGATTTATGTTGCCTGGTTAACAGTGTTGTTAGCTCTGTGGCCCTCAGCCGCTCCTGGTGCCACAGTTGACTTTCCTCTGGCATGATTTATGTTGCCTGGTTAACAGTGTTGTTAGCTATGTGGCCCTCAGCCGCTCCTGGTGCCACAGTTGACTTTCCTCTGGCATGATTTATGTTGCCTGGTTAACAGTGTTGTTAGCCCTGTGGCCCTCAGCCGCTCCTGGTGCCACAGTTGACTTTCCTCTGGCATGATTTATGTTGCCTGGTTAACAGTGTTGTTAGCTCTGTGGCCCTCAGCCGCTCCTGGTGCCACAGTTGACTTTCCTCTGGCATGATTTATGTTGCCTGGTTAACAGTGTTGTTAGCTCTGTGGCCCTCAGCCGCTCCTGGTGCCACAGTTGACTTTCCTCTGGCATGATTTATGTTGCCTGGTTAACAGTGTTGTTAGCTCTGT